GGCCTTATTGAAGTTACCCAAATAAACTTTTTTCCAAAGGCGGGTAACCGTGGCTCTCGGAAGATGATGAAGATTAAATGTTCCTATTTAGAATGATCCGTTAGTCACCATTAAGAAACATCATCCAGGCCGACTACAGGATGCAACATGAAAAAGACAAACCCCTCGTTGGCACTTAGTAAAAAGGAGGAAAGCAACTGCAGCACGGGAAGCGCCAGTCATCCTGCAACAACAATACAGTCCAAGCGGTCAGCGTATCCGGTTTGCAGAAATCCGTCTGCTACTGACGAGAGATGGCATCCTCCAGCCGTGGAGATTCTGTCCGCATCCGCGTCAGTGCGGAATGAAATTCTTCTCTAAAGACAATACCATAGATGTGAAAAAATAAAACTCGAGTTACTATCTACGCCATGTTTCTGAGTCCAATGATAGTAGGCAAGTTAGGCAATGATGGGTTATCCGGTCCCCTTGCCCTTACGCAATAGTTCTTTTATTAATCGGATATGAATTCGAAGGGTTATCAGTAAGACTTAAGTGGAGCTTGCCTTGTGAAATCTCTTATCACTCTCTCTCTCTTTTCTCTCTCTCTCCTCTCTCTCTCTCTCTCTCTCTCTTGTGTTTTGCGCTCAGTCTCAGTCTCTTTCTAAAAGAAGTATAAGAATCCTGCATATTTTTCCAACCCAAGCCACGCCGCTGACCCAAACCACCGGCCTCTGACGCTGGCATTTCCTATGGCTAAGGTGGAAGCCTGGTGTGAGCTGTGGCTTGGTCAAGTGAACACGTAGGTTGGGTCAGCGCAAGGTTTATGCAAGTCCTTATATAGACTTTGGTCAGCTGTGCGGTTTGGTTTGCTTTCTAGATTTTATAGGAATGGCTTACTATGCGCCCGTTGTTCTTTTTCTTCTTTTCTCCTTCCCTCCCCTCCCCTCTTGTTTCCTTCCCTCCTGTTCCTTGCTTTTTCATTTTATTCCTTTCCCTTTTCTTTCCCCCCCCCTTCTCTTTCTTCTCCTCTCCCTCCCCTTCCCTCCTCTTTCCATACCTTCCCTTCCTTTTCATTTTATTCCCTTCCCTTTCTTCTCCTCCCCCTTTCTTTCTTTCCCTCCCTTCCCTTCCATTTTCTGTTCCTCACTTCTCTTCTCTCCTATTCACTCTCTCCAGTTTTAATATGCTGGGTATAAACGCATCTGATTAAGTGCAAGCAAGACATCTATATTTTGATATCCTTGTATTCAATTTTACTATCGTTGTCCTATTTCTTTTCTTTAATGACTATAGAGAGCTTTTTATCAGCTGTAATGCCGAAGATTATTCATTTATCTTTGTATATACTTGTGACGTCACTACCCACTTCAGCCGAAAAGATCAGCGATACGTATCTTGTGTAATGATGACTTGTAAAACGCTGCGATATATGCCTAATGATAACTGTCAAGCCGTGTTGATGTCTTTTCCTTTCCTTCAAGATGTTTCACGATTTTTTAACCAATTCTTAGAAACCCATTAAATGATATTTGAGTATCGAAGGTTGGGAATGAGCAATATGGCGAGCACACCAAACTCTCGGGATTGGTTCTGAACCTGGCGGCTGTTCAAGGACTGCAAGGACGATTTTCAGTGGGTGTTGTATAGGTACCGGGTTCCTGTACAGTCTCTCCTATGTGTTTATATATATGTATATGTATGTATATATGTATAGGCGGGGATAAAGCTTAATTCTGGAATTTTATTTTCGTTTTCTATCACAGATGGACAACCGTGGTCGCTGTACCTGCCGGTGTTCGCCGACGCCGCGTCCCCCTGCGGCGTCGCGGTGGCCGCCATGGCCTCCGCCCTCGAGGGGAGCGTCTCCCAAAAGGAAGACTTGCTCGGAGTCTTGCAGAGTAAGCTTTCCCCGAAGATTGTAACTGCTTATCATAAAATGTGTATAACTAGGTATTTAAACACATATTTAACTAAAAGTACTGGCACAGCAATATAACAATAGGACTTGTGGCGAAGTTTATTTTGATGCGTGCATGTTTGTGTATTGGGGGGGGGGGGGTCAGAAACACCAGTCAGCCCGTAAAAGAAACCAAAACAAAAAAAGTGGATTGGGACACGTGGGAACCTCACCGACTGCGCCCAAGCCCTTGCAAGCAGTATGGTGTCCTTGGCGAATAATCTCATAATGATTTATCGTTGGCATTAAGTCTACATTTTAAAACCAATTCTGTTCTTGTACTCGCTCTTTGCAACATTTCACTCTATTCCCATCTTAATGAATGCCTGGTGACGTAACAAGGAATAGTTTAGGTTGTTGATTTACAAGTATTTACTAATGTTTTTTCTCATTTCACGATCAAAAGTTTCAAGATATTCATGGATATATGAAAATGACCAATTATATTAGATGCATTTTCAAAATCGTACCAAAACTCTCTGTACCCCCCCCTCCCACTGTTCTAGTACTTTCAATTTACTGACCCCCCCCCAAAAAAAAAAAATTATTTATGTGAGATATTCGCCGGAAATTTCAAAATACATACCCCCCCCAAAAAAAAAAAAAAATAAATAAATAAATAATAAATAAAAAATAAAAATAAAATAAAACATTTATGTGAGATATTCGCCGGAAATTTCAAAGCCATACATACCCCCCCACCCCCCCCCCCAGCACTCCCTTCCACGTTTCCGAGAATGTTGAAGAAAGGATTGCTAGCAGGCAGCTTCATCTATAAACATTTCCTTGGAGTTATATTAAGACTAAGCTACAATCTGACTTTTTCTTTTTTTTTTTTCTTTTTTTTTTACCGAAAGAGACCTTAGTTGCTACCAATGGAGCTCTCTAATACGCTGCTATTTTTTGTTGCGCTTCATGCCGGTGTTCAAATATAGTAAATATTAGCACATGACAATTTACTGTCCCTCAGAACAACAAGTGGTATCCTTCCAACACCTGTATACACATACACACACATAGACACAAAGACTCATACACGCACTGCATATACACATATAGATATACAGATATATAAATAGATATATGTATGTATATATACACACACTTACACACAAACTTATCTGCATAAATATAAATGCATGAGCGTGTGTGTGAGTGCGCTAAATAATACACGATTACAAAAGATGATTAGCATTCGCAATATTTGCCGTAAGGGCGAGTATTGACGTGTAAAAAGTCAATAACTTCTCTTCAGTAGTGAACTCAAAAGCAAAAGTGCGACGGGCTCCTGTACATTCTCCTTTGTGTGTATATATATATATATATATATATATATATATATATATATATATATATATATATATATATATGTGTGTGTGTGTGTGTGTGTGTGTGTGTGTGTGTGTGTGTGTGTGTGTGTGTGTGTGTGTGTGTGTGTGTGTGTGTGTGTGTGTGTGTGTGTGCGTGTGTGTGTGCGTGCGCTGACCCCCGCTTCTTCAGTGGTGGACTCGTGGGCGAAGGCGCGCGACGGCCTCCTCTACGGCGTGCCCTTCGTGCTGGGCGTCGGGTCCTACGGCGAGTGCCTCCGCGCGCGCGCCCCCGACCTCGACATCAAGGGAAAGTACTGCTCTGTCGTATTTACGTGAGTAGCGGCTGTCAACTTGTAGTGTAAAATAGATATATTGTTGATATTGAACATCAAGTACAACCTTTGATTGAGGTTCGCCTTTCCCAGACATTTTTTTCTCTTTCTGTCTGTCTGTCTGTCTGTCTGTCTCTCTCTCTCTCTCTCTCTCTCTCTCTCTCTCTCTCTCCTCTCTCTCTCTCTCTCTCTCTCTCTCTCTCTATATATATATATATATATATATATAATATAATATATATAATACATATATATATATAATATATATATATATATATATATATGTTCAAATTCACGGATCCGTTCATGTGCCTCTTGGCAGAGATGACCCGAGCTTCAACGGCACTCGGACGGAGGTCGACGGCGCGCTGCGTGTCGCCCAGACCTCGGCCAGCGTCAACGTGGGGTTATACTCGCAATACGGCACATGCATACCCGACGCCTGCTCAGAGGAAGACATGGTGGTATGCTAAATTCAGTCAGCATATCGGCTTTTAATAGTTGTTTACTATGTTGGGAAAGGTCTGTTCCGACATTATGGTAGTAATGGTAGTCTATTTCCTTACATTTACCATTTCATATTTGTTTTCACTCCCTTTGTTTTATTAACATCTATTTGTAACTGTTTTATCTTGCTCTTTTTTCTTGTCCAGTCACAAAAATTTTGATTTACGAGAACAATAGCTATCGATCTAAGATGCAAACTAAGCGTGCTTTGTAAAAAGGATATTCACGTAATTTTCTCTGTGGCCAGGAGAGCCTAAGTGTTGCTGTCGGAGGACGCAAAGTGGCGGGCGTCTTCTGCCAGACTTTGGACGAAGCGCCGGAGTTCACTGCGGCGGATATCGCTATGATGTGAGTGAGGCTTTCGTCCTGCATCTGATCTGATCCCATCACATAGGCCTGCTTGGCGCCTCACGATTCTTAAACAAGCTGACCTCCTCACGTAAGCCTACTTTCATCTGCAGAAGTTTCCTGAGCGTGATGCTGGCTCTCATGGCGGCCGGCACTGTCGCGGACCTGTACCTCCGGGCCACCTCGACGGCGCCTGCGACGGGTCAGTGATGTTATATTATTATCATATAAGCATTTGATATCCGATTATCTAGTTAGAGACAACACATGTGGCGGTATTTTTTTTTTCTTCATCACACACACACACACACACACATATATATATATATATACACACTAAAATCCGAACACTCCCTGACCCAGTCCCTTGCACGGCTCCCCGCAGGCGCGCGCTTCCTGCTGCCCTTCTCGCCGTACACCAACCTGGAGAAAATGTTCCACGTGACGACCGAGTCTCGCCCGGGGTCATCTCCTGCCTGCACGGGATGAGGTGCGGCGCCGAGGCTGGACTTGCCTTTGTTTGCTTAGAAAAAGTCTTTCCAAACTGAATGACATAACTCGTATGTGTGAAAGATAAAATATACCCATATTGATCTTAATAAATCAACAGTATATCTAAATATACACAAACGCATCCTAATGTGAGCCACATATGTGTATGTGTGTACATAATACATATATATGATATATAGATATATACATGCATACATATATATGTATGTATATATATACATGTATATGCATATATATGTCCATATATGTTTGTATATATGCACACATATACATGTATTTTTGTCTGTCTATCTATATATGTATGTGTGTTTATGCACGTATATATATATATATATATATATATATATTATATATATATATATATAATAGATAGATAGATAGATAGATAGATAGATAGATATGGATATGTGTGCGTGTGGGAGTGAGTGGACCTTCTTGTGTTTCTGTGTTTGTGAGCACGAGTATATAGTGTTTTTTCTTAACATGCCAACAGAGTGTTGTCTATGACCTGGGTGATCTACGGCCACCAGTATATCTTCGATATGTACTTCACTGTCAACTTGCTACACTTAGAAAAGGCAGGGCGCTTCTTTACCTTTCCGTATAGTTATAAAATGACGAATAGTTGTACGGCGCTGTTTCATCTTTCCGTATAGTTATAAAATGACGAATAGTTGTACGGCGCTGTTTCATCTTTCCGTATAGTTATAAAATGACGAATAGTTGTACGGCGCATCCGCTCCCCATGTCCGTCTATTCTGAATGGCGTCTCCTCCGCAGTGGACGAGCGGACTGCTCTTCCAGACCATCTTCAACGCCACGGTGAGCACGGACTCCTTCTTCTTCCTGTCGGGGCTTCTGGTCACCTACGGCGTCCTGAGGGAGATCAAGAGGACGGGCAAACTCAACATCATTATGTATTACGTCCACAGACTCATCAGGTACTGCTGCGAAGTTGTGTTCGTGAATGTTGCTTCATCGGTGTTTTGACGTGATTTTCCTCAGTGTTCTCTTCCTCTGTCTTTTTTTTATTTCCCCCTTATTTTATTGCGAGTTTTTACTCATACATTTTTTTTTTTCAGGTTAACGCCTCCCATCGCCCTTGTTGTGCTGTTCGCGGCGACGTTGTTCAGGTTCCTCCCTTGGGGCCCCTTGGCTTTTGGGGCAGATTCATATTCGACGATGTGCTCGCAGAATTGGTGGATGGACGTCCTGTACGTCGACAACTTCCTTGGCTTTAACAAGACCACTAATATTGATGTAGGTCTTCGAAGTTTTGCCCTTTCTTAGGCGCCCAAGTTTAGTAAATAGTTTATGTTTTTATACATACTGACTCACACAGACACTCACACACATACAGTCATACACACATATATATATGTATATATACACATACATACAAATATATATATATATATATATATATATATATATATATATATATATATATATGTATGTATGTATGTATATGTATGTATATTTACCCAGACACACACACACACTTAAATATGCTTCCCTTCCCTATTCAGTGCCTCGCCCAGTGCTGGTACACCGCCGTGGACACCCAGCTGTACCTGGTGGCTCCCCTCGTGCTGCTGCCCCTCGCCTTCTATCCCTCCAAAGGTAATGTTTCCTTCCTGCTTTGCTCCGGCCTCGAAATTCTGAAATCTACCTCGGCATTTGTTCCGTTTACTTCAATTCACCATTTCATTGCTTGCCGTATTTCTTCATGTGCAACTCTGCCGGAGCCTGATTTGTATGTCAATATTAGTCCTCGTTTTATTGCTCTAATTGCCCGATGGTGTAGTCCCAGAAAGAAAGCATTCCAATTCCTCCTTATTCCAGGGAAGATTCTGCTGTTCCTGGTAACTCTGGTGTCCTTCATAGTCCCAGCAGCTGTGATCTACGCCTACGACCTTCCTCCAGGGTCAATATCGGCCGGTGCCGAGTGAGTTACGCCTTTCTTGCTGTTTTCTTAACCCCCCCCCCCCTTTCTAATTTCATGAATCCAACGGATTTCCTGACAAGGTTTTGTTTACGCTGCAATTTCAGGCCAACACGATCATTTTTGAGTACACGAATGTTTAGCCATCCTCAAAGTGTCTGTAGAACAATTACAACAAAGAAGCGTCATCCATCGTGTTTGAGATCTTGAGTATCTGCTTCTCTCAGTCTGAGAAATTGTTTGGATTAGCCGTTTGTCTTTTTCCGATTACTTAATTTTTTTTTTTCTTACAATAAACAGTGAAGTCGATGCCATTGGTTATCAAAATATGGTGTACTTTACACCGTGGTGCCGTATGAGTGCCTACATCGTGGGGATCTGGACTGGCCACATCATCTTTGAACAAGGATCAAACAAACTTAAATTGACACCTGTAATATTCAGAGAGTATTCAATCTTACAAATATTTTGAATATAAAGTGAATTTTGAGATTTCATATACTCGAATATTGACATTTTGTAGCCATTCCACTATTTCACGCGTTACTGTCCACGTTCTTAGGTGCAGGTATTAACTGGCTGGACGGTAGCCGCGTTCTCGGCTCTGTCAGTGCTGTTCGGCCTGTGGAGTTACAACCAGGTGCAAACCACCTATTACTACGACCCTGTAACCCAGGTCCTGTACGGCGGTCTCCACAGGGGTGTTTGGTGCGCCGCCCTGGCTTGGGTGGTGGTGGCTTGTCACTTCGGCTACGGAGGTTTGTGCTTGTCCTTCAGCGGGACAAGAGATGTGTATACACTGTGGGCGTGTTGTGGATGCATTATTACGTGGATTCCTTATCGATAAATAGCACAGTATGCCTGTTTTATTTAACTAACGAAGGTGGCTGTTGCAGGTGTCGTCAACGACTTTCTCTCCCACCCTTCGTGGCAGCCGCTCTCCCGCCTTACGTACAGTATGTACCTCGTCGCCATTCCTGTGCAGATCTTCTGGGTTTACAGCCTTAAAGAACTTCCTTACTTTACGCATATAGACAAGGTTTGTATTTACAAACTCAAGACTACTTTAGTGTGTGAAAATGCATAGTCAGTTGAAAAGAGGAACAGAGAAAACAGGAGACTTCATAATGAGAACTGAAACTTTTTTCTAGTATCTATGAATGAATTACTCAGAATACATAAATTTTTTGTCCGTCTAGGTCATCCAGACTTGCGGCACAATCTTCATATCCATCGTCGCGGCTGTGCTGGTCTCGCTCACGGCAGAGGCTCCAGTCTTGGGCCTCGAGAAGCTCATCTTCAGGCGACCAGGTAAGTCGAAGCTGCCATTGCTCTTGCATTCCTTCTCTTCATTTTTCGTTCGATAATCGTCAAAGCATTAATCACGGGAGTTGATATAATTTTTCTTTAAAACTTCTTTTTGATATTTTTACATTTTATGTTTCATACGAAGGGGAAAATTTTTGGACTTGTTTGTTGACTGGTGACTAAAGGAGTTTATGCATAAGAACCTGCCACTGCTCTTCCACAGGCCGAGGCGAAGACAACCCGAAGGCCACTGCTCAAGCCAACGGAAAGCAAGGCCACGACAACCCCGCCTTCTCCGACGAAGGTCCTGCTGAGCTCGAAAAGAAAGAAATGGTCGAGACAGAAACACGGCCGAATGCTGACGCTGAGTCGTCGCTGCATCAAGACCCCGAAGCAAAGGAAACGACCCTGTTGTAGTTGTCGCTTAAGTCTTCATGTGTTACTTCCTCAGGTTATCCCACAGTGCATAGTCATGTTCTTTACTTCTTATCGTTTGCAATATATAGTAGGTTAGTAGTAAATCCTTCATACAGTTAAGATTGTCACATAAATCACAATTAATTCATCTGTTAGAAATATAAGGCCTCCTTTTACACGAGACACCGTATTGCAGATGGCCATGGCTTAGAGAAGATCAAGGGAGTCAAAACTGACACTGGATTATGTATGCACACATTCTTATATTCGTGTGTATGTTTACGTGTGTGTGTACTGTATCAGCAAGAAACTTGCCCTTGCGAAATAAAACGCATCTACCTCCATTTCTTTTGTTTTATTATTGCATTGTCCTTTGTGTGTGTGTCCTTTGTGGATATCAAGGTAGATTGTCTAGAGCAGCGGTTTCCATCAGATTTACAATAAAACGTTCCTCTTATTCAAATTTTCTAATGAACTCTGTTTTACTTATTGTCTTTCTACCCAAACCTTTTGTAAAAAGAAAGAAAAGAAAAAAAAGAAAAAAAAAAAAAGAAAAAAAAAAAAGAAAAAAGAAAAAAAAGAAAAAGAAAAAAGAAAAAAAAAAAAAAAAAAAAAAAATATATATATATATATATATATATATATATATATATATATATATATATATATATATATATATATATATATATATATATTCTAGTTAGCCTATAAACTGAGGCTTCTGGACCTGATTATACAACCAATCAGATATCAGCATTTAGATAAAAACATAGGATTTTGGAAACTGATCTTTAGCAGCCTTCTCCAGCATTTTATATCTAACGTATTTCGCGTGTGGGATGCGTAAAAGTGTAGAGTACAGAACATTTATTTTCCTTTTATTTATCTATCTATTTGACATTATGGATAACAAATCATATATGGAATAATTGTATATGATATAATCTATCATTTTCCTGTATTGTTGTGTATATATATGGGGCTTTACAAGATATAATACTAGTCTAAAAATGAGCGTCCTCCATGCCTGTGAATACCACACTCGCAGGCCGGGATGCGACAGAAGGGGCCGCGTGCATGTGATTTTGAGACAACGGTCCCAGGGATTGTAACTCTACGGGATGAAACAATACAGGGCGGTGTAAAACTATGGATATAAGATGTATAAGTATATACAGGTCATTTCCGTGTATTCCATGACCTTATGTTTATATTTTATTTGCGTTGGTTTGTTTGTTGAATGTTTTTTTTTATGTTTGCAGGATAATTATATATATATATATATATATATATATATATATATATATATATATAAATATAATATATGAGCAGATTTTAATCAGATTTTTGTGGTGATCTGGATCTTGATTCGGATCAAGGATTTTTTTTTCTGACAAAAAGTTATGGTCAGATCTTAACGAAATGTTTATCTGGGGTGTGTCTTAGCCTAACTTACATTTAATTTTGGTTGTGATCCGAATCATTTGGCAAACGAATTCCCAATTTAGTGGTGAGGGTTGAATGTTTAAAACATTTTGCTCAAAGACGAAACTGACGAAATATGATCCAAACGCAAAAAAAAAGAAAGAAAAAAAAAATCCATATGAACAACGTATGTTATTTATTTGTAAATATTTTTTTATTGTTTTTTGACGCTTCCCATATTTATTTAATGATTCCAATAAAAAGGAGGTTTGTCTCATGTTATGTGAAATTTTATAAACTTTCAGAAAATAATCTCATCTCCTTATTATATTTAATAATTGCGTCACAATTGCCGATTTTCTAAGGTGAGGTAAAAAATCATAATATTTCGGTGGATATCGAGAATGGCTGCTACCACCTAAAAAATAGCGGGTGGGCCTTGAAATTTATATACGCATGTAGACTGATAATTGCTTGTATTTTCATTTATTTTCCTGCGTTTACCTGTCCATCTATATATTTATCTATGTATACATATCTCTGTGTGTGTATGTGTGTATATACACACACAGACACACACATACATGCACACACATATATAACTGCATCATCAGAATTTGTACATTGTAGAACTAAAATCTATAAAAGCCAATGAGCACATTAATCAATAGATAAAAGGATTAATAAAATGCAATAAATGAGGGCTGTCCTTTCTAATCCGGAACGTTTTCAAAGAATGGTATTTTGAACTAGAATTAGTGTTCTTCGTTACGACGATACTTCGGTTCTTTCTGTATTGTATTTAAACGCCATTTCAGGCTTTTTGACAACTTTATTAATGTATATTGTCAGGCGTTTTCTTGTAGATAATTAAGCTCGGTGAGATCATGCCCTTCTTGCCCTGAAAGGAGGCCCGCCTTCAAACAACTAGGGCATAGTTAGGCTAGTTCGAATGTGAGGAGGTGGGAAAGTACGGAAATCAGGCGAAGAAGTGCAATAATGACTGAAATATACATGAGAGAGAGAGAGAGAGAGAGAGAGAGAGAGAGAGAGAGAGAGAGAGAGAGAGAGAGAGAGAGAGAGAGAGAGAGAGAGAGAGAGAGAGAGAGAGAGAGAGAGAATGTGAGGAGGTGGGAAAGTACGAAAATCAGGCGAAGAAGTGCAATAATGACTGAAATATACATGAAGACAGAGAGAGAGAGAGAGAGAGAGAGAGAGAGAGAGAGAGAGAGAGAGAGAGAGAGAGAGAGAGAGAGAGAGAGAGAGAGAGAGAGAGAGAGAGAGAGAGAGAAAGAGAGAGAAAGAGAGAAAGAGAAAGAGAAAGAGAGAAGAGAGAGAGAGAGAGAGAGAGAGAGAGAGAGAGAGAGAGAGAGAGAGAGAGAGAGAGAGAGAGAGAGAGAGAGAGAGAGAAATAGTGATCGCTTCTATTCCTGTTTACTTGTAAATTTGACGGATATATTGGATCCTGCCTATAGTAATAAATTATCGTATATTATTTCGAAAATAATTATCAAGAAGTCTTATCACATCGTTTTATTTCAATTCTTTATCATATTTCCTATATATAAAAACTAAGACATTGTTGGAACTGACCATATTAATAATCGTCAGACGGAAATATCCTTTATACATATATGAAGGATGTATATTAACATATGGCTCTGCATTATCCTAAGCACCTATTCTATCTCTCACTTCTCCGTCTTATATCACCTGGATACGCTATTTAGATAATGGTAAACTTTGGAAATTTGGAAAAGAACGTGACATTAGTTCATACGCCATTATATTTCCAAATGTTTTTAATTACTTAAATACCAAAAATAACGAAATAAATATGTAAAAGACGGATATCGAAAGCAATGGGTTTCTTGAATAGTTTGGAGGGGAAACACCGTCAAGATGTTGGACACCAGCCGCTGAAGCCTTGGGTAAAGTGAAGCTTGACTCGGCCCTCCGCGGGGTGAGTGAGCAAGCGTTCCCGGTTCACGCTTGCTCGCTGGGAAGTGCCTAATCTGCCCAAGTCTAAAGACTGTCAGTGAATAATGTGACACAAAGGATATATTAATAGTATAAGTTTTGCAAGACTTGCATCCTATATACCCCACCATCATTATATTAATGCACCGCTGCACTCATTCACTGCTTTTCATTTTACATCATTCATTTTCACGAACAGTTTCGGAAATAATATAATAAATTAGGTTGACTGACGATGCACTTTAAATCAATTTGTATACCAAACTTTATGCTGATATAATAGTCATTAATACTTTCTATAAGTATATGACTGCGAGGGGCGGAGCCAAGTGGCCCATCACACTCAAGTTGACCCCAACCAAACCCTGCTTCGCGATTCATGAACGCGACTGGAGGTCGTGGTTCGTAGGAGACACCCAAACGAAATAAAAGGAAAACAAGGTAATCGATACCTATACCTTTACACCCCATTACCCTCGAAGTTTTGCGTCCAAATCCATTTATTAATGTTTGGTAGCTCAAGAAGCGCTATTTGAAACGATACATTATTCACACCCACAAATATTACTCACAGTGTGTATGTGTGTAAGAGAGAGAGAGAGAGAGAGAGAGAGAGAGAGAGAGAGAGAGAGAGAGAGAGAGAAGAGAGAGAGAGAGAGAGAGAGAGAGAGAGAGGGGGGGGGGGAGTGAGTGAGAGGGAGAGGGGGGGTTGCAGACACTAGCCTAGATAAGATGGGTCTGAAACATAGCCGAACACTCACTCCTTGCTTTACCTAGCTAATCTAAGTCACCATCTTCCTCCCCCCCCTCCCCCTTCCTAACTATGTCCAGGTTGTTTGAACGAGGGCCACCTTTCAGGGCAAGAAGGGCAAGATCTCTCCAAGCCCAGGTCTGGCGAGGCGACATCGTTTTTGTTGTTGGGTGTACAAGGAGGCGTTATAGGGTATAGTATATTTGTAACAGACGATTTAATTGTGGTTTATATGTGACAATCTTAACAGTATAAATGTTTTATCATTTCTAATTTACTATACATTACAAATAATAAGAAGAAAAGAACATGACTATGCACTGTGGGATAACCTTAGGAAGTAACACATGATGACTTAAACGACAACTACAACAGGGTCGTTTCCTTTGCTTCGGGGTCTTGATGCAGCGACGACTCAGCGTCAGCATTCGGCCGTGTTTCTGTCTCGACCATTTCTTTCTTTTCGAGCTCAGCAGGACCTTCGTCGGAGAAGGCGGGGTTGTCGTGGCCTTGTTTTCCGTTGGCGGGAGCAGTGGCCTTCGGGTTGTCTTCGCCTCGGCCTGTGGAAGAGCAGTGGCAGGTTAATGGATAAATAGAAGAAATATAGCAGTTAGCAAGTTGTACAAAGAGGGAAATGCCCCTATAGTCAGCAGTCGATTATTTACATTGATCTGTTGCAACTCTTCTGAAAACAAACCTCCAAAACTTTACCCGTCATATCAGACACAAAAAATGTTATAAAGATGTAATATATATATATATATATATATATATATATATATATATATATATAATATAATATATATATATATATTAACGCACGTGATGAATGCTCTGACGATTATCAAGCGAAAAATGGAGAGATTCATCGATGCCTCCAGAAGACGTCCGAGGAGGAATGCAAGAGCAATGGCAGCTTCGACTTACCTGGTCGCCTGAAGATGAGCTTCTCGAGGCCCAAGACTGGAGCCTCTGCCGTGAGCGAGACCAGCACAGCCGCGACGATGGATATGAAGATTGTGCCGCAAGTCTGGATGACCTAGACGGACAAAAAATTTATGTATTCTAAATAATACATTCATAAATATCAGAAAAAAGTAAGTTGGAAAATACAAAATATCGATTTCTTCGATTAGCTATGCATTTTCACATTCTAAAATAGTCTTGAGTTTGTAAATACAAACCTTGTCTATATGCGTAAAGTAAGTAAGTTCTTTAAGGCTGTAAGCCCAGAAGATCTGCACAGGAATGGCGACGAGGTACATACTGTACGTAAGGCGGGAGAGCGGCTGCCACGAAGGGTGGGAGAGAAAGTCGTTGACGACACCTGCAACAGTCACCTTCGTTAGTTAAATAAAACAGGCATACTGTGCTATTTATCGATAAGGAATCCACGTAATAATGCATCCACAACACGCCCATAGTGTACACACATCTCTTGTCCCGCTGAAGGACAAGCACAAACCTCCGTAGCCGAAGTGACAAGCCACCACCACCCAAGCCAGGGCGGCGCACCAAACACCCCTGTGGAGACCGCCGTACAGGACCTGGGTTACAGGGTCGTAGTAATAGGTGGTTTGTACCTGGTTGTAACTCCACAGGCCGAACAGCACTGACAGAGCCGAGAACGCGGCTACCGTCCAGCCAGTTAATACCTGCACCTAAGAACGTGGACAGTAACGCGTGAAATAGTGGAATGGCTACAAAATGTCAATATTCGAGTATATGAAATCTCAAAATTCACTTTATATTCAAAATATTTGTAAGATTGAATACTCTCTGAATATTACTGGTGTCAATTTAAGTTTGTTTGATCCTTGTTCAAATATGATGTGGCCAGTCCAAATCCCCACGATGTAGGCACTCATACGGCACCACGGTGTAAAGTACACCTTAGTTGCATAACCCATGGTATCGACTTCACTGTTTATTGTAAGAAAAAAAATTAAATATACATCGGAAAAAGACAAACGGCTAATCCAAACAATTTCTCAGACTGAGAGAAGCAGATACTCAAGATCTCAAACACGATGGATGACGCTTCTTTGTTGTAATTGTTCTACAGACACTTTGAGGATGGCTAAACATTCGTGTACTCAAAAATGATCGTGTTGGCCTGAAATTGCAGCGTAAACAAAACCTCGTCAGGAAGTCCGTTGGATTCATGAAATTAGAAATGGGGGTAAAAAAAAAAAAAAAAAAAAAAAGCAAGAAAGCCGTACTTACTCATCACCGACTGAATTCGACCCTGGAGGAAGGTCGTTGGCGTAGATCACAGCTGCTGGGACTATGAAGGACACCAGAGTTACCAGGAACAGCAGAATCTTCCCTGGAATAAGCAGGAGTTGGAAGTTCTCTTTGGGACTACACCATCGGGTAATTATGCAATAAAACGAGGACTAATTAACAAATAAATCAGGCTCCGACAGAATTACACATGAAGAAATACGGCAAGCAATGAAATGGTGAAATGAAGTAGACGGAATATATACTGAGGTAGACTTCAGAATTTCGAGGCCCGGGCAAAGGCAGGAAGGACAACAATACCTTTGGAGGGATAGAAGGCGAGGGGCAGCAGCACGAGGGGAGCCACCAGGTACAGTTGGGTGTCCACGGCGGTGTACCAGCACTGGCCGAGGCACTGAAGGCCAAGGCAAGGGAAACATAATTGTGTGTATATATATAAGTATATATACTTACATATACATGTATATTTGTGTTTGCGTATGTAAATATACATATAAATATATACACACACGTACATGGACATATATTTACAAACATAAATATGTGTATTTTTTTTACAAAAGGTACTCAACGGCCTTCTATATAATAGTGTAGTTAAATTACGGGTGGCGATATACTGATTGGCTTCATACTTTATTTGAAGAGAATGCGATATCTATAGAGAACACTACTAGGCGGTGCTGAGTGGGTCCTTCCCGGCTGCTGCCCTCTCCTGGGCCAGGGTGTATGAGGGAGGTCAGGTTCTCCTGAACTCTTATAAGCCTGGGGGCCGCCGCAAGCTATTCTTAGAGAGCGTCTTGTCTACGGAGGGAGGAACTTTCAGGGGGACCCATGCCTCCCAGCCACATGTATAACATCAAAGAGAACCTGACCTCACACACCCTCGGCGACCTTTCCCGTAACCGGGAGTGACCACTCACCCGCGGTCGGCCGTACAGCCGAATCTCCGGCGGCTCGACCTGGCTCTTATACTCAGCACTGAGCGCCGGCATATCATAGTCTCTCATATCGTGTTCTTTCCAAATAAAGTGTGAAGCCAATCAGTGTATCACTAACCGCCACTAGTTATTCAAACTACACTATATAGAAGGCCTGTTAGAACCTTTTATATTTGTATACACACACACACACACACACACACACATATATATATATATATATATTTACGAGTTTGTGTCAATATGTATACAAACATACACTATATACTAAAATTAGGACAAAACTTCAAAGACCTACATCAAGTGCCTCATTGGTGACCTTGTCAATGCCAAGGAAGTTGTTGACGTACAGGACGTCCATCCACCAATACTTCGAGCAGGTCGTGTAAAAGATATCTGTCATAAAAGCAAAGGGGCCCCAAGGGAGGAACCTGAACAACGTCGCCGCGAACAGCACAACAAGAGCGATTGGAGGCGTTAATCTGAAAAAAAGAAAAAAAAAATACTGAGTAAAAACATAGGGAACAGGGAAAATAAAATCAACAGAGATAGAACATAATGTCAAAACATTGATGAAGCAACATTCACAACTTTGCAGCAGTACCTGATAAGTCTGTGGACGTAATACATAATGATGTTGAGTCTGCCCGTCCTCTTGATCTCCTTCAGGACGCCGTAGGTGACCAGAAGCCCCGACAGGAAGAAGAAGGAGTCCGTGCTCACCGTGGCGTTGAAGATGGTCTGGAAGAGCAGTCCGCTCGTCCACTGCGGAGGAGACGCCATTCAGAATAGACTTGATGAACAGATGCGCCGTCCAACTATTCGTCATTTTATAACTATACGGAAAGATGAAACAGCGCCGTACCTTTCCTAAGTGTAGCAAGTTGACAAGGAAGCTAATATCGAAGGAATACTGATGGCCGACGATCACCCAGGTCATAGACAACACTCTGATGGAATAAGGGAAAATGCATATGTAAATACAGAAACAAAAATGTCCACCCATGCCCAGAACCACACACACATACGCACACATATATATGTATCCATTTATATGTATATGCATACATACATATATATATATATATATATATATATATATATATATATATATATATATATATATATATATATATTTACATATATATGCATGCATTTATATGTATATACATATATACATAAATATATGTATAATTACATACATATATATAGATAAATGTATGGATAATTACATATATTTATGCATATACATATATGTATATCCATGCGTATGTGTTTGTCAACATGTGAGATGGACTTGAGGTGAGTAATGAAAGTGGTCTTGGCTTTTGGCTATATTCGCTTCAGGGCAAGTGGATATGAACTCCCTTCCTGGGTGGGTGCTTGCTTCTGCTGACTGGTCAGATTCGTCTTGCCGTGACAAGGGGTGGGGGGATTATAAGGACTTGCTCAAGGTGGAAAAGTCGGTCACATAGAAGTCACTTGGGCAAACCAGGCTCAAGAGAGGAAGGTGCAAAGCAGCTACTTCCTGTGATATTATAGACTCAGGAGACCTGCAACACCAAGGTACTGCCTTTGTTCAACCAGGGACAGAGGTGTGGAGCGCTACCTTACGGATATAGTTTATATCGTTTGCAATGTAAACAATACACTAAAGGGTAGATGGTACCTACTTCACATTGCTTTCACCATTTTCACTTCTGCTGGTATAAACAAACACCTTCAGGGCCACCGCACGAAAGGATGTTTCATCAGACAGGCAGAAGATAGACACAGAGAGACAACAGACATCAACAGGATCTAGCTCTCCACTACTCTGCCCTTGGGACCTGTGGACACCGAGTCTCTAGGTTGTCTCACATCATATACCTTCCATAATAAAACTACATGCCAAGAGCCCTTTCATTCATCTGCACTAAAGCCACCCTCTCTCATTGACATCTGGTGGCAGCGGTGGGGTATGAATAAACACACATAGGCGTAAGAAGGTATTTTGAAGTGGGGGGGGGGGAGAAAAGTAGGTTCCCTCCCAAAATATCCTGGGAGGCTGCAGGCTCTTGGCGGGGTCCAGGGGAAATGCCTCTGTGAGGGGGGGGGGGCGAAATCCTCAGAAGCTCCTTGATTTGAGCAGTTTTAAAGAGATAAACATTAATTTCTGCACTAAAATGACAGACATTTTCATTTAGCTTATATTTGACAAAATGGTTAATTAATTTTGAACACCATAATCAGTTGTAATAGCCGCCCTCTCAGATGCAAGGTGTCAGTGTCCTCAACAATTGGGTAACTAAGGAATTGCACAATTTGTTTGTTTACAGGGAATGTCCTCGGAAGGTCAGTAGATGGTAGAAGTTGGGTCCCGCCACACCTCTATTCTAGGATGAGGGGGTGGTCGCCCTGTCCCCTTTTTCCTATGCCTTTATACATATATGCATAAGCTCACATATATATGTACATGTACACAACACACACACACATACACACACACACACACACACACACACATATATATATATATATATATATATATATATATATATATATTTACATATACATTATATATAAATATATATACACACATATATTGTATGCATATATACATATACACACACACACACACACACACACACACATATATATATAATATATATATATATATATATATATATATATATATATTTATATTTGTGTGTGTGTGTGTGTGTGTGTGTGTATACATACATACACACATATTTATATATGTGTGTATGTATGTATATATGTATAAATATATATATATACATATATGTATAAATATACACACATATATGTATATGTATCTATATAGGTATATATACATATATATACACATACACACATATATGTAATATATCATAACCAACATTCGGAAGGTAGCAGTTCAGACCTGTCGCAGACCTGTGACTACATCACCAGAGGAAATAGCTGCTTTGCACCTTGTTCGCCCAAGCAATTCTCATCCCCTGGAGCAAGTCCTGCCAATTCACCCCCCTTGTCACGGCTGGAAGAACCAGACACTCCAATCTGCAGAAGCAAGCACCTGCTCAGGATGGGAGCCGCCGGATAAAAGTGGGACGATCTCACGTGTCACTGACATATATATATATATATATATATATATATATATATATATATATATATATATATATATATATATATATATATTATATACATGTACATATACATACATGTATATATATGTATATACACATGTGTGTACATGTATATATCTGTATGCATATCTATATGTGTGTGTGTGTGTGTGTGTGTGTGTGTGTGTGTGTGTGTGTGTGTGTGTGTGTGTGTGTGTGTGTGTGTGTGTGTGTGTGTGTGTGTGTGTGTGTGCGTGCGCGTGTGTTGTGCGTGTGTGTTTACGCATGTGCGTATATTTATGTATATTTAAGTATACTGTGGACTTGTTATTTATGTGTGTATAATATCTTCCACACATCTATGTCATTCAGTTTGGAAAGACGTTTTCCTAAGAGCAACAAAGGCAAGTCCAGCCTCGGCGCCGCACCTCATCCCGTGCAGGCAGGAGATGACCCCCGGGCGAGACTCGGTCGTCACGTGGAACATTTTCTCCAGGTTGGTGTACGGCGAGAAGGGCAGCAGGAAGCGAACGCCTGCGGGGAGCCGTGCAAGGGACTGGGTCAGGGAGTGTTCGGATTTTAGGATCTCCCTTCTTTATTATATATATATATATATATATATATATATATATATATATATAATATATATATATATATATATTCATTATTCATAGATAAATAAATATACATACATTTGAATATATTTGTATCTATATATGCTTCTATGTAAATATCTCTCTCTATGTATAATATATATATATATATATATATATATATATATATATATATGTATATATATGCATATGTATACATGTATAATGAAAAAAAAAAACATCGCCACAGGTATCGTTTCTAACTAGATAATCGGATATCAAATGCTTATATGATAATAATGTAACATCACTGACCCGTCGCAGGCGCCGTCGAGGTGGCCCGGAGGTACAGGTCCGCGACAGTGCCGGCCACCAGGAGAGCCAGCATCACGCTCAGGAAACTTCTGCAGATGAAAGTAGGCCTACGTGAGGTCAGCTTGTTTAAGAATCGTGAGGCGCCAAGCAGGCCTATGTGATGGGATCAGATCAGATGCAGGACGAAAGTCTCACTCACATCATAGCGATATCCGCCGCAGTGAACTCCGGCGCTTCGTCCAAAGTCTGGCAGTAGACGTCCGCCACTTTGCGTCCTCCGACTGCAACACTTAGGCTTTTCTGGCCACAGAGAAAAGCGAATTACGTGAATATCCCCCTTATTAGGGAGGCTTCGTTAGCATATTAAATAGATATTGTAATTTTCTTGTAAATGAAAATTGGTGTTTTGTTTTGGATAAGAAAAAGGGCAAGAAAAATAGTATTATCAAAAACAGATGTCAAAAAACAAAGGAAGTAAAAGTAAGTATAGAATAGTAAATATAAACAAACAAAATACTATATGTTCTTTAGTGCAAAAATTAACTGAATAGGTAGATGAACTAAATACTATAAACAAAATACCATTTACCAGAATGTTGGAACAGATCTTTCCCAGCATACTGTGTAAGTACTAAAACGATTGTCTTTAACATACCGCCATGTCTTCCTCTGAGCAGACGTCGGGTATGCATGTGCTGTATTGCGTGAAAAGTCCGATTTTGACGTTGGCGGAAGCCTGGGCGACACGCAGCATATCGTCAATCTTCGTTCTTGTGCCGTTGTAGCCCGGGTCATCGCTAACAAGAGACACACGAACGGAATCGTGAGTTTGAACATGAAGAAAAGACGAAGCTCAATCGAAGGTTCTTGCTGGTGTTCAATATCAACTGTATCTGTAACTCAAAGTGCGAATTTAGATAGTGGTTACTCACTGATATACTATAATGCAGTATTTTCCTGTAATGCCGAGGTTGGGGGCGCGCGCGTGGAGGCACTCGTCGTAGGACCCGACGCCCATCACGATGGGCAAGCCATAGAGGAAGCCGTCGCGCACCTTCGCCCACGAGTCCACCACTGAAAAAGTGGGTGTATGCTTATATATATATATATATATATATATATATTGACTGGTAGATGGATATGTGTTTATGTGTGTGTGTGTATATATATATATGAATATCAACACATAGCAGAGACCATACAGGAACCCGTCACAGACTTTTGCCCAGGGAAATGTTCATCAAATAAGCTGCCTGTTAGCACCCATTTTCTCGAAAACGTGGAAGGAAAAGTGGGGGGCAAATATGTATTGCCTTTTTCGGGGGGGAGGGATCAGTATCTTTGAAATTACTAGAACAGGGGGATAAAGAGAGTGTTGGTACGATTTTGAAGCACGTAATTTGATTGGTCATTCACATTTTCTTTAAATGGGACAACGTCAGCAGGGATGGCAGAGGTGACGTCCACCTGGAGTAACTGACCCAGGTTTAACCTCAGGCAGGAGCTTGGAACATCCAGTCTTTACGGCAGGATGATAGATTACCACTGCTTTTGAGGGAATTAAAATGGTTGGGAGTTGAGGTAGCTGCCCTCTTAGAGGTGAAAAGACCTACCTGGTAGTGGCATAATTAGTATGGGTGGGTACACCTACTACTGGTCAGGTGGTGCAATGCTCACAATCTTCAGGGAGTAGTCATAACTATCTCCAGCCGACTTCAACTTTCGGTAGCAAAGGTTTCTCCTGTTCACAAGCATAGTATGGCATTGAGACTGAAGCATGCTTTTGGCTTTGTGTCTCCTATTGCTGTATACACTTCTACCTATGTTTGTTAAACTCGATGTGAAAGAGGCATTCTATGCCAAACCTACATCTGTGGCAGACAAATGTCCCAAACGAGACATTCACATTGTACTGCAAGACTTCAATGTGGTATCCAGTTGTGATCAAGCTGGCTACAAGATGTCTTTCGATCACCATGGCTCAGGAGTTGATCTCAGTTTTTAGAACAGCCTCCAACTCCGAGACTTTGCTTGAGAGATTGAGGATTTCTGGCTCCCGATATTAGCACTCCAACCTACATCACTGGACTTGGTATAGCAATATGGGTAATTCTGCCAAGGAGATCGATCACATTCCTGTTAGCACTCATTAGAGAATCTTCTAGAACTGTAGTGTTCACAGGAGTACCGAGTTCTATGGCACTGACCATAGACCAGGGGGGATAAATTGGTTGTAGCGACTCGATGGAGCCACCTCTCTTCTGTGGCCACTCTAGGGTGTTTCATCTAAACAGATTGAGGGAAGAAGTATCTACACTGAGGGTCACCAGAACAATCTCTGCCATTCCTTGATGTGCAAGGCTTGGACTCTATTTAGATGGAATAAGGACAGTTCATCAGGAGTCTTGTTGAGGAGATAGAAGGCCATTTCCTAGAAAATGACCTTCGTCCTACTTACCAAACCCTGAGAAACTAAACTCCTATCCTTCCTCGCAGATGACTGCAGCCTGATCAGTGGATAGACAGATCATCTCAAATTATATTGGGGTTTGTGAACACTGGGCTGAGTATTTTGAGCAACTGTATCAGGTAGACCTATCAGCAGTAAGTCTGGATGCAAAAGATGTCGCAATCCCTGTGCAGGATCCACCCATCACTGAGGATAGAGAGGCGATCTCTCAGCTGTAGGCATTTGTGGTATCCCTGCTGAACTGCTAAAGGCTGGGGGTGAACCTATGGCACAGGACTTGCATACTGTCCTGGCTACCATCTGACAGTCCGGTTCCATTCCCCCTGACCTGTTGAGGGGCGTGATCATCCCTCTCTGGAAGGAGAGTCTGATCATTGAGACTGTAGCAACTACGGTGGCAACACGTTACTTAGTATACCAGGGACAGTTTTTGCCGACATCCTGCTGAAACGAATCTGCAACCAAAGGCACCAAAGACCGAGCAGTCTAACACAGTAGACTTTATCCTAGTGCTCTGAGTCATTGTGTAATGCTGTCGTGAGTTCGGCCGTGGGATGATTTAACCTACATCGACCTCAAAAAGATTTTGATGCATCACAAATTGCTATGATTAATCCCGAGACTAAGGGGAATTCCGACACGGATTATTGGTTTAATAGTAAGCTTATATCATGGTACTGTATAGTGTGGTTGGGGCTTGACGAGATTCTTCCTTCTTAACTCAGGGGTGAGGTAAGCTGTGTCCTTGCATCAACACTTTTCAACACTTGCATGGACTGGATAATGGGTAGGGCTACTACCCAAATTGTGGAGCAATATCTAGGTCACGGACCTCGACTTTGCCGACGATATTGCTATCCTATCTTAGTCTCTAGAATCTCTGGAGCCTCTAGAGACCAAAATCCAGGGAGCCTGTTAGGGGAACCTGTTTAGTTGATACAGGCTTGCCTCAAGGATGTTGAAGTCACAGAAAGCTTTACATACTTTGGTAACGCAGTCGATAGCACCAGACTTTCAGACAAGTAAGTCAGCAGATGCATTGGTCTGGCAGCAGGAGCCATGAACTCTAAGGCCTTGATACTGCCACTTTTGCTCTATGGAAGGGAAACCTGGACGTTATCTTGTGCCTTGAAGTCATATTTCGATGCCTTTTGTAACAAGTCCTACCGCCAGATCATGGGGTACAGTTGGCAGGACCATGTGTCCAACCAACGACTACACTGTGAGACTGGCATGGGACCTCTTGCTTGTATAATCCGTGAAACCCAACTCAGGCTATACGGACACCTAGCTTGTTTCCTTTTGGATGACCCTGTCCATCAGGTTGTTTCTTTATAAGACAAACCTGTGTGGAGGAGGCCCGTCGAAAGAACTTGGGCAGCTCGACCAGACCTGTCGTGACGAGCTAAGTAGGGGCCGAAGAACTGCCTAGCGGCTCGCCATGAGGGATCCCAGTGACTGGTAGCGAAGGGTGGATGTGGCTATGTGCCCCTGTCAGCGACAGCTGCTTTATAATGATGATAATTATTCAAATCATGAGATGAGTAATGAGTATCTTGAACTTTCGATCGTGAAATGAGAAAAAATCTTGTAAATCAACAGCCCCCCCCCCCCCACACACACATCTATATTAAAACAAACTCTGCCACAAGTCCTATTGTGGCTGTGCCACAATAATACTATGCCAGTATTTTTGTTTATATATATAATGAATAATTAAACACTTTATGATAAGCATTTACAATCTTCGGGGAAAGCTTACTCTCCAAGACTCCAAGCATGTCTCTCATTTGGGAGACGCTCCCCTCGAGGGCGGAGGCCA